GTAAGCATTTTTTATAATTTATGGTATAAGTATGTCCAAGGTACTAGCATTTTAAATTTATAGTAATTTTAGTCCAAGGTACTAGCATTTTAAATTTATAGTAATTTTAAACTAAAATTTTTGCAATAAACTTTCTTCAAAGATTATATATTTTATACGTATAAATTAAAAAAAATAAATTTGCTATAAATTATTTTTCTTCCAAAACAATAATACAAAATAATATTTTTTTTATTTATACGACGACTGAATATATTTTTAGTTTAATTTGAATATATTATTTTTTGTGTATTATCTGAACTTTTGCACTTTTAATATCAGATCAAGTCCAGCTTTTATCATATTTCTTTTAAAATACAGCTTTATTTTTATCCTTTTTTATATATTTTATTGTTCGCAATTCCTTCCGGAATATTTCACCACACATCAGTTCCCACCATTATCCATACAGTGCACTTCCTTAACAATAATACTGCTTATTTTAGATTTTTTTCACCGGCGCGCGCTAAACACAAAGTTCGTTTGTACGCCCGTACGCCTTACAACGTTCTTTTTATTTTAAATTTTCAAAGTTTTTTTCGCACGCCAAATGATCATCGCACTCGCGTGCTCACGCTCAGCAACTGACTGTTGATTGTCAAAGCATTTTACTAGCGATCTAGCCGTGGACTAGTAACTGACACAGCAGGCAGCCGCGCGCCGCGCCATATCAGCGCCGTGACGACGCGCGCTCGCGGCTGCTACGTCACAGTAGCTGACAGCGCCGCGACTAACCACATGTAAGACGACGCCGCCACCGCCATTGGCGCTGCATTCGCTAAACACACAYCTAACACAAGCGCGACACGGTAACAAAGCGCACACTGTTTGCTGTAAAATAGAATTGTGTATTTTTATAAAAACAAAAAACGGCAACAAATCAAACACTTTGTAAGTATCGAACACTTCACGGTGCTGTAGTCGTTTGTTCTTCTTCTTCTTCAAACAATCACTTCACTTTTCTTTGACACTTTTGCTTTGTTTGTAAATTTTTTTTGCGCGGTCACATTAATGTTATTAAGTTTCCAATCGCTGACTGCTATGTATGGAATAATTCTTATCAAGCATAGCGCGCGCTGCAATCGAAGCGACGCAAGCGGCGACCGCAAACGCGACGTCTATTGCGCTGCGCTGCCGTCATGCCGACGCTTACTTAAGCTGTTGAAGATGTTGCTGATGGCTGGCGCTTCTGCACGACTTTCAAATAAATGTTTCGAATGTCTGCACACATATGCTCTTACATATGTACGTATGTAATGGTGGGTATGTTTTTTATTGATATTTATGTATATGCGTTCGTTTGTAGCGCTTAGATAACGTAAATTGCGCTCATATTTAAGTGTTTGCGCTCGCACGCGCAGCTAGTGACGCGCACCACACGTTCGATAAGTCGTGAGAACTGCGTTGCGTTAATAAGTGGGTGGGCCACAAGCGCACCTTTTTCCTGCTTAATCAGTATGAGGAAGTTATAATAGTCTGAGATTATAGGTAGTTGACACTCTTACTGATTAAGGGGGAGGGGGGTGTTAACCAGTTAAGTTAAGATTTCTCTATATTTCTAAATCTTCTTCTTCTCTATTGCCGTAGACAACGCTTAAAACCGTGACTTTCTAAACTCTACTCATATATTTTTTCATATTTTCTTTCWTTTCGAAAATTTATTTGTAATTCTCAATCAATATRYAGTCATAAGAAGATAYAACTATAGAGATTTATATCATTTCGATAATGGTTTTTTACCTGTCACCTTGGAATGACTATAGTTCGTTCTACAAAAATCTATGATCGATTTCAGACATCAAAACGAGTTCTCCAAAGCATTTATTTTTAATTCTTTGATCCCATATCCTGCGATGCCCACGATAGGTGTATATAAAAAAATAAATACTCGGTTTCTGACCTCAAAACTTTAGAACTGGTTTTTATTTAAAATTATTTGAATGAAAAAATATAAATGTATTACAGATATATTATAATAATTCTACCGATTGATGTTGAAAAAATCACCAAACCATAAATTTATCTTGGACAAAAACCATCTACAAGCTAAGACAGTTATGGAAAGTTTCGTGGAATTGTTTGTATGATTCAAATGATTGAAATCGAGCTCATACGTCTCAACTATTGTAAAATAGAATTTATCTAACAGATCTAATTCAATGATTTACTCGGTTGATATTCCAAACCTGATGCTTATTTCAGACACACACCTTCTAGAAGCTAAGACAGTTATGGAAAGTTTCGTGGAATTGTTTGTATGATTCAAATGATTGAAATCGAGCTCATATGTCACAACTATTGTAAGGTAGAACTCATAGAGGGTAGGACTTCCAAAGTTTTGTTAAAAAACTCGTATTAAACTGGAATGCGATCAAGAAAAGGAGATCCACGAGGAACTAAACACATCATTTTCATTATCCAATTTGGCCAATGATTTTGTGAACGATAATTTCATCGTCGAAATGTACACATTCACTGACTGATCAAAGAGTGAAACGAGAGCAGGAGCACAAGTATCACAGTTTATACCACAAAGTCACTTTGGGGTAGTGTTGCCGGTGGACAAACCAAAGACCCATACTTCCGGCGAAAAGGAGCTTAGCATCTTTGTTAAGCACCTACGTTGAGAAAATGGGAAAAATGGATTCGGCGCAACACTGGAACATTATTATGCGATTTCCCCGCCTTCAGACGGACGAGATGGGGACATATTCCACGACTCCCAATACTCCAACTTAAGTGGTAGCATATTAAACTAATCACAATTTTCACCAAATCCACTGAGCTGCTGGATAAGGCTTAAATGTGTTATCAGCCGGGAGCACAGTGGCCCTAATTAAAGTGCAGATTCCTGCGGTACGAAATTTTTAGCGACTTGAGTGTTTCTTAAACTCGTTGATCGTTTGTTGGAGTTTCTTGAAAACGTCAACTGCCTCTCTAACGTAACAAAAAATAATTGAAAATTCTAAAAAGATTTCCATGACGACTGAAGCATTGCTTTTGGTCTGATTTCTTAAAACTAATAATTAGAATAACCAAGGCAGCACGTTTTAATAAATTCCTGGCACGTACTGCTTGCCTTGACATATTTATTTCGCTAAAAACGGCTTTTTTAGTATTTTTTGTTTTAAATTATTGTCGATTTTTAATAAACGTTCTATCAATTCACATGCATTTTMATGCGACTTTTATGTGTGATTTTTACGATTAACACATTTACGCGTCAAAAATCATAAATTCCTGTATGCGTGTATGTATGTGTGTGTATGGCGGGATATATGAACAGGTGCGGAAACAATACGAATTTTTACGAATCTATAAAATTTATAGGGGCTCACCAGTGCTCGTGCCGTAACGGACAGACAGACATTGTAGTACAATGCCACAAGTGCAAGTATGACCATGTGTAAGTGTGTGTGACATACAAGTACTCCAATCTGACCCACATGACTTTGCATGGCAATTAATGGATTACCGCACAATTTGATTGTTTTAATTTCAATCGGCATATACATATATGCTAATATAATAATATGATAATGCAAACTATCTGTTGTGTTGGCTTTGTGGCAAGCTATATACTATAATTGAGTGTGTTGCATGCTTGATGAGCTCGGTTATTATTTACAATTGTAATGTTAGTAGAATAAATGACTGTGTGATAAACAAGAAGTAATTATGTTTTGGCAAATAAAAGTAATGACATACAAAGTTAAATATTTAATACTTATATGTATATAAAAGGTTTTCCAATAGGGATGATATGATTTTCTTTCAACATACAAACACACTAATTKTTAAAGGAATTCAAAWGTTTTTTATTTAAAGTGACATAACATCACTAGAATCATTAGAATGAGCTCCACCGACTGCTTTTCCCGGAACGAATTCGGTGAACCCAATTTTCGATTGCTTTTTCTACTAAACCATGTTGTATGCCATGAGCACGTTTAATACAGACTTCTTAAGCTTGCAGAAAGTCTGGTTTATTGGTAAAGACCAATAACTTCAAATAATCATACAAGAAGTAGTATAAAGGTGTCAAATCACAACTTCTTAGAGGCCATTCAAAGTCATAATTTCTTGAAATTATCGCATCTCCAAACCCTTCTCGCAATAACTAGGTTGTTGTACGTGCTKTGTGGCACGTAGCCCTGCCCTGCTGGAACTAGATGCTGTCGAGATCCACTTCTTCCAATTGCGGCTATAAAAGGTTGGCATATGTTTCATTGACAGTAACTGTATCATCAGCTTCATTTCGAAAGGGGTGAGGAGCGATGATTTCATCAGACCAAAAACTATCAATTTTGGYGAATATAATAGTTATTTATGAATCATTTGTGAATTTCTTTCGCACCAGAATCGATAGTTCTATTTATTTAYCGCACCACTCAAATGAAAGGAACCTCATCAGACAAGTGACTTTCTTAGAAAACTCGTTATTGYTTTCAAGTTGTTCCAAAGCAAAATCAATAAATCCATAACGTTTACAGTGGCTCAATGACTTTAGTTCTTGAGTGAGGTTAATTTTATAGGGATGCAAGCTCAAATCCATGCTCAATATTCGTCAGGCTATGGTTTGAGACTGTCAAATTCTTGAAAACCTCTTCGGAATCGACAAATTGCGGTCTTGAGCAACACTTGCCTGAACGGCGGCAATATTTCCATTACCTCGAACGGTTCTTTGTCTTATTGGTACTCGAGACCAGGTGAACGATTATTACGAAATTGTTCTTGCGTATATATATATCCATGAATACATTGTAAAGATTAGTGAATACAAAGACACGAAAKTACAGATCATGCCATATTAAAACTGGCCGAAACAACACTTAGGAATCATATCACTCTTATTGAAATACCCTATATATGCCACAATAAAGTTGCAAATCCATTGACGTACATTAATTTTAACAACAAACACGCCAAGTTCGTAGTAAAATTCATACTTTAATCATCACTAATGATGTAATGGATATAAAGAGTATAATTAAGTAACATTAAATAATAAATAAATAAATATGCTGATTTTATTTCGCTTTTATTACTCTGAATATTCAATTTCTACATTTTCAAGTTATTACACTATGAATGCCATCAACTAAAAAGCGTAAAGCATTACGTAAATATTACGTTGTGACTAAATATTTAATTAGAACGTTTGCAAAACAGATTTATTGTGTCGATAAGCTTACGTTAACTCTTCGAACGTTGTGCCTCTCTGTGTGCAAGTCGACTTTGAGACTCGGAAAAAGTGCAATATTTACTACCGATCGCGSTTAATTGTATTATGGATAAGGTTTTATTAGATATAGACTAAAAACGCTTTCTTCGGCTATAACGRAGCTATAATACCCCTCAGGGTTGCAATTTTTATARCAAGGAAAATTATAAAAACCCTTCRTACTGATTTWGATCGTAGTTGTGCGATCCGAATGATTTATTCGGTGATTGGAAAATGATCTTGCTCTTTTCTGGCACTTCACTCAAGGTCTAGACCGGAAACTCAAAATTTCTCCAGTTGCCTGTATTATTTACGTGGTCACATAATTTCAAAGTCATAAAAGCAAACAGGCC